ATTTCTTAGTGAGCTTATACCGATAGCTCAAAAAAACTATAAGTAGTCGATAAGGTGGTCGCCGTTCCTTCCTCTAAGCTTGGCTTTGCGACTCATCATCGAGGTGACATCACCAAAGCTCCTATTGATGGTTTGGTCCTTCGTGTTCATGTTAATATAAGCGTAAAACAGCGTTTTCAACGTCCGGCGTGACTAGCATTTTGGAAGTCATGATACATGTAGGTTGATTAAGCTTTCGGTTTGTTCTGTGCCGTGGCATAACCTTTACTTTTGACTGGATATTTCCTCCCATCCATTCTTGACAGGTTTCTTCTTTATCCCTACAGTTAAAAATTTACTTTCTTGTGCCTAATTGACTAAGTTGAACAACATCACTGTGAGTTGTTTTAACTTGGTTGATGCTCGGGCTCTCCGGTCCTTGGGTTTTTTTAATGACTCTGAAAATATTATTGCTCATTCAGCCACCTCAGTCGGTATTTTTTGCTTCCTTGTATCGTTCAAGGTTTGAAGGACCTGAGGTTGTTTTATCCTAAAATGGGGGTGACAGGGGTCAATTTCAACGCTCTTTTTCACTGCTTTATCACGGAAGCACCATAAATTCGCGTTCTTTCTGTAGTTTCTCAAGACCTAGTATGTTGACACTGCTACACTTGGATTAGTGTCCATGCTGCCGTTCATCTGCGGAAACTAATGTGAATTGATCTTGCAGTCCAGCAGCTAGTTCGTGCTGCTTGATCCTGGTTGTCAGTGTTGGTGCCGCTTGTCACAGTTCTTGCATCGAATTTTGTTGAACAGATTAATCATCGCCATGGCATTTCGTAGCTACTTGGGTTGACTGTGCTGACCAGTGTTTGTAGTTACACAGACCAATAATTCATCACGTTATCGTTGTGCCGTTGTTGTCACTTAAGAAGTGTCCTTGGCGTAACGTAGCCTAGATCTTTCGACTGTTTTGTTGCTCACTTACTTGAGTCGTATTTTCCAAGATTTCACCGAATAAGTGCCTCTGGTAGCCGCTTCTTTAGATGATTTCTTGCACGTTTTGCTATAATTCTAGATTGGATATCGTTGTTTTGAATTGTGTCTCAATTCGCTTAAACAGTATCCCGATGCAACTTTGATAGTACAAGTTTAGCAGGTTGATGTGATGATTCAGAATTCCGTCCGTGTGTGTCACCTTTCGACAAACCTTCATTTACACCTGTCCGTTTGGTAGATTAATGACATACACATCTGAAAAAACTAGTTTCCCACTGCTTTCCACTTTCATGGCCAGGATCATTTCATCAAAAGTTTCGTTCACTAACTCGACTGCTTGTTGTGACTTATTATTTTTGATGATGGCTATTGTCTTATGGACGTAACAGATAGATAAATCGAGCTTGATTTGCCTAAGATTTTTCATATTGTAAACCCGGTGACGTGTCTTTTCTGTTGGATGAAATCGTGGATACAGCATAGATTGAGTGGTTTTCGGAGGTCCCCTTTTCCCAGAGATACGTTCGGGAATCCACGTTTATTCAATAATTCACTGATAGTTGTCTTGGCGGAATAAATGCCCGCAGGAGCGAACACCGAGCGCACATTAAACGTTCTCTCCTATTGTTGTGCCCCGCATTTGATTTGGGAAATCGCATTGCTTTGATGACAGTACTGCTGTAACGGTGGATACTACCGATAAGGCACGCAAGTAGCATGTTTTCTCGTAAATCCGCTTTGCGTCTCTTGAGAAGGGAGATCTATGACTGAATTTGTGGAGTCGTTTTGTAGCATTTGCTTGCATTTTAGTCACAGTCAATGAATATCCAGGAAAGTTTAGGAAGACGCGTTTAAGGAGAAGATGGATGTTCAGTTTTGTAAACAAGATGCATAGGAGAGTTCTGCTCTCCTGTCCAGTAGTCTGTGAATGTTCTAGTTGGTGCTTTCCAGCGAACAACCTCTCAGCGAAAGCCTTCCTCCTTTCACTGAGATTCACCGGTGTGATACCTCAGTTGTCTTCTTTAAAAGGCTGTATGTGAGTGTAGTTGTAACTTATTTCAGTTGGTCGTAGTGGTACCTTTTTGTGTAATCCTGAAAGTCCGTAGAAGCGCGGAGCATCTAACTCTTTGACTCACTGTCGTGTCCATAATCAATTTCTTAAATGACTAGCATATCTATTTTATATCCGTCACTTATAAACACACAAGACTTTTTCTGCTTATCTTATCTTTCTGATTTTAGCTAAACCTGACTGCTTGTACGATGAACATCATTTTTTCAGTCCTTTGCACATGAAATCATCCACGCTTAATAAAATATATCTACTCTGTCCTTTGTCGTGGAGAATTATGTCGGTCCACACTCTTGTTTAATCTGACGTTACAGGACCACTCACCTGTTGGTGTATACTCCACACACTGTTGGCAGGGTCCCATCAGTTTGACAGAGGCCGTTAGTTTGGAACCGGTTTTACCAAACACTATATTCTAAAGTATACATAGACGCGAATTAACCTCTTTACTTCAGAAATCATAATTCTTGTTCAACCACTTCGATGTTTTCCTTGGAATGACTTATTTGTATTCTGGGGAAGACTCGTTTAGGGTAAGAGATAATCCGATAGACGCTTAAGAGGGTTCAGTATGAAAATGAAGTGCTCCAAGAGGCATACAAGCTCTGCTACGAGGTTCTATGAGTTGCACACTGGTCAACAGACTTAGTTAGAGCTGGCTTTTACCGTAATACCTTGAGATCCCAGATAATTCATCTAAGGAATTTTACAGAGACATCTCCTGAAATATCTCGACGTGTCCTGACAGCTATTCAGTTTAACTCTATCCTTGTAAAGCCTAGAATGGTCGTCGGGTGTTTGGGACCTTTACTGCTAACCCACAGTTTGGTATTCAACAGACTGTGACAGTGTCCGACACCGATGGCTGAGCCAGTGTTTAGTGTGCGTTAGTGCACTCACCAGATAGGTTGCAAGCTGGTTAGTTTTGACAAGCTTTCTTGAGGTTATGTTGTATCTTGGCAACAGCTGGACGGGTGAATTACCACTCTGAAATTAGTATTAATGATTTCTCAGTATCAGACAGAATGGCAGAAAAATTTACTTCTTACCCTGTTAGCAAATTCTACTTAACTGTACTCCTTAGTGAAGGCGATCGAATGGCCAATGAAAGATAAGAGGGATTTGGGACTATGAAGAGGACAGCGATAAACTGTTTAAGAAACGAGGCTATAGGGTGATTTGTACTACTACCTACAGACCGTGAAATCTAGTTCTTAAAGTAAACGTCACTGCGTGTTGGCCGAACATAAAAAATGTTATTTCTTCCTAATTTACACGCAATAATAAGTAGTATCCCTTCGAGCTTATTAGATAACTTGTTAAAATTTGTTTTCACGTCCACATCAGAGTTATTTGAACAGTCTTCCATATGCTCTGGCGCAGTTGTTCTGGTAAGTCTACATCGGAGGGAGGAAACAATGGATTCCAGTTTTGCTCTTTTTTGGAACTCATTCTTGTTCGTGCCGGAACGGGAACTCCGTAAATCAGATATGCGAAGCAAGCCTGTTATCGATACTACAACAGCACATGAAGCTGAAGCTCGAGCGAGGAGATTCGTTTGTTCAGCCCCCATCCGGGCCGGTCAAACAGATGACTAAAAGCAGGACATTTATTTTTTCGTCGGAACGGATGACAAACCACAAGACGACACAAATGATAACCATACCAATGAATGCTATCTCCCAATTAGCCGACCAAATTAAGGGACAACTGATATTACATAAAAGCGCACAAGTAAGGAGGCAGTAAGCACCCAACCGCACAGTGTTGATGGTTTTTGGTGACACAACCTATGCAAGTTTAATACCAAGCTCGGTAAGCAGATCGACAGCCATTTGATCAACAACTAAACTGCCTTCAAGCGTTCAGGCGAAATTGTACTGAATGCTAATTTTAGGAACCCCGCAACCAACCACAACCAGATTCGTCTTGTACACGAGACTAATGCTCACGAAGGAGCTGTTTTGAGGGTATAGGCCTTATGCTAACACACTGTTTTTAACTGCGCTGCGCATCACTTGAATTAATTTACTTCAAGATCTCTGCAACTATTTCACAACAGGTAACACAGAATGTGTGCATGTCCCATGTAGGAAGCAACCGGCAAAAATGTGTGCTGTTTTTCAATCAAACCACCAAGTATTCACGAAAATATTGAGAGAGACAAAGATTTATTTTTCCGTGAGTCGCCATCTCAGCTATTAACTCACGAATTTATGGGCTTCTAGTCAAGAAACTAATATGACGATTATTGTGGAATCACCAGTACATTCGTGAAAACGTGCGAAATAAATTAACGGGCCCAGAGGTTGTGTGGTCAACAAGAAAACGTAATTTTCGCACATATTCCCTAGAAGGAATCGCTAGTAGGCAGCTCCTAGCTCGAAGATGAAACAAGTTTATTCTAGAGTCAAAGTTACGGGCCAACTGGTCGGCTTATGACCGCCTTTATGATCTACAATACTCAAAAGTAGTTATCGTAATTCTGGTATGGTTAAACTCACACATCCAAGTTGCCAAATTAGGTGCATGGTCAAAGCCTAATTTTACTGCTAACCTCTGAAGACATTCTTTCACATCGTGATACCTTAGCTTAACTCAACATTGACTCAGTTTGAAATAACATTAATATACACCAGCAGTTCATATTGGGAGACCAGACCATCGAAAATTTAGATATCTAACGTAACTAGGAATTAGCTTGACTGACTAGTTTTCGTAAACCTGATATATTCAAGAATGACTGACGACGAGTTTTCTTGGTCACCTCTGAAACATGAAGCACATCGTGGAGCACTGAAAAAATGTCAATTTCTTCTTAAGTTCTTAAGCGGTCACAACTTCATAACAAAAATGGAAATCTACCCCAACATCAAAGCAAACTAGCCTTTCAATTACAAGCCAAATTTACAACTCCTGTCGAAAAATTCCGCATTATCTTTTTTCAGGCACTGGGCTCATGCGAATCCTTCTGGATGCACACCCATGGATAAATTGCGGAGCGGAGCCGATCTACCCAATCCGAGTCCTAAACATGCGGAAACAACTGGAAATGACAAACAGAGATTGGGGTATCCAAGCAAACCTATATCCGGTGGCTATTGATCGTGCAACAAAAGCATACATCCGCGAGCTAGCCGTGAACATGGTCGATCCGACCCAGATCTACTGCCTGAAACAACCTCTGATGTTTGAGTATCTTGATGTCCTTGCCAAACTCTTTCCAACAGCCAAATTTGTTCACATCGTAAGAGATGGCCGTGCAACTGTAGTTTCGTCGATAACGTAAGTCTATATTAAAAGCGAACTGTTTTATCTGTATAATGGCTTATCCCTCGGAAGTTAAAAAAATTTTTTTGATCAGATTAAATTTGGTAAATATACAGAAGATGAGGGAACATACGTTTTGGTGGACGTCGTCTGTAGCCACCACCAGCCTTGGTATCAGGTAGTTCCTCGTGAATATTTACTTGTGATTGGTCCACCTGGGTTGGTTTCATCTGCGTATTTCAAGCAGTCGGAGTAATTTCGGTTTCAAAATCTGTTTTTATCCTGTAACTGAACTCATATTGAACGACCTAGCGGGCCGCACATGCGTGTTTCTTGTTTGTAATTATGCCAACAGTTTCACCAGAGAAGCTTCAAGAGGATCCGAATGTGCACATTTGCGAAAGGAAGTTTGAACTTCCTACGATTCAACAGTGGACAGCTGACCAATCAAGTGATTAAATCATTCGTAAAGTATTCTTGATCGTGAACTGCAGCTCTTAATCTAGAGAAAAATGCTGGGTTTTATGCTGAATGAAACTCACTCAACGCCGTTTAGCCGATTAGTGAAACTGTATCCCCTCATCCACCAATAAAATGATTTCGCGAAATGCTACTTCAGCTGGTTTTGTGAATGTAATTTCCTTGTGTTCTCAGACCGTCCAGCGTGTGAGGGAAAATGAAAGGATTTGCCAAAACTTCAGTACCTAATTGATGTCCATCAGGAGTGCCAGTTTATCCATTCCCATTTAGTTTCGTGAACACTGAAAGGTTTTCAAAACCCTGGTGTTCATCTAGCTGCTGACAAATCTCTGTTGGTCTGTAATGTGCCTGCGACATCGTTCTTGTCTTCAAAGAGGAGAAAAAGGTGCAGGTGTTCTTAGATGAACCGACCGAAACCATCTTATCCTGTGGCGTGCGCTTTGCACCCACCAAGTATGAGGTCATGCTTCTGGAAATGCAGTCATTGGACAGGGCATTCAAATAATTGAATTTTTGGAACGTTTCGCTTATCTTGGATGCTGCATTAGTTCTGATTTTAGTTCGACAGGTGAGGTCAATTCACAAACCTGTAAGGCACGGCTCGCGTTTGGTAAATTGAGACACATATGGTGAAAAAGCAGACTGTGTCTGAATATCATGAGACACATGTATCAGGCTATATAAGGGGCTGTTTTTTTGGACGGGAGATGTCGCCTTTGGACGTCGCCTCAATAGTTTTCGACACTTGTTTTCTCAGTACATTAGGTGATGTAGGCTGATGCTGGCGAGTCCGGAAAGATATCATTAGAAAAGGACTGTTTGGTTCTGTGACAGAGACTTCAGTCAACGAAACTGTACAGCTTCAAAACCAGCGTATTGCGGATGCCGAATCGTCGTTTACTGAAAACAGTGCTGTTCCGCGTGTAAAATTCCGAGTGGCACAAACACAATGACAGTGAAACTTTGAACTTTCATGGGGAAATGAAGGCGATCATGAGAAATCTGAGTACTCTCGTTGCGGATCACCCTCCAAAATGGAGTCAGCGTACAAAAACAATATCTCCCTTCCAGATGATTTATTGTTGTACAACACCGACGCATCAACCACACTGTGTTATCGATGACGAAAATGATGAAAAATATTCTATCCGCAAAACACTTGAAGTTTATCGGATTCTTTCATCCAGAATCTGTGTTTTCGTTAGAGGCGCAAATTTTGTACCGTAAAATTTTCATTGGTCTTTGAACTGAGCAGTTGTTTTGCTTACTGGTAAGGATGATAATGACGATACGTGATTTCACAGCTGTGACACGTTGCGTTGATCCCCAATGTCAACTGAATTCCGCACCAGCATTTTTTACTCACAAATAAGTTCTGTGAAGTTAAATCTACGCACTCATCTCCTACCAATTTGTTTGTGACGAGCGACTTATCTGGAACCCAGCTAAATCTCTTTTCTATAATGTCCTCAACCAACCTGCACCAGGCAGCCTCATGTTTCAGTTAGCACGATATTCAGAACATCGCAATACATTGTTTAGAAGCTGAAAACTCTTTGACAACCCATAAACATCATAAACGAGAGATTCAGCTGGATTTTCGTCAAAACCGAATAGCTATAGAAATAAGTTTATAAGTCGAATTTCGAAGAAATCGCATTCTTCTTATAAGGCTGGTGGAAACTCTGGGACGGCGCCTAACTGATGGGCTCTAAGAAGGGCAAAACCTGTCGTGAGCTGTCGATTAGTTTTCAGTAACCTTGGACTAGTGATTCACCTACGGTTTGAAGTGTGAATAATCCAGCGGAAGTTCAAAAGTTCACAAGAAGTCTGTTTTTGTTCAAATATAATACAAAATTTAATCTGTATGGTTAGAAACTGGTGGCTGGTTACAAGTTCATTAGCTCATAATATTGTTAATTTAGGAGATTGCTTCCGGTCAACGGACTCAGTCATACTACGTTCACATCACATTTGTGGAACCTCTATGAGAGATAAATGGCTTCGAAAAACCACATCTGTCTGGTTGTAAATGTCTGGGCTTCTTACAGATCACGATGTGTGACTCAGTTCAGTTAATGAACCCAGTCACAACATAACAGATAGAATCACCATTGATACTAACCATGGATCTGATGTTTTACTTCTTTTTTTGTTACTACCATGGTATACGATCCTTAAAAGATTCACAGGGATGAGTTTCTTCTCAGGCCAAGCCAGGTGGCCCCCTAAACATTTTTAAGGCTATTAGGAAGCACATATCTGGGTTTAGCCTAGGATACACTTGTGAATTTGTATGCAACAAGGTTGAACTTCATTGATGCTGGTGACTGACACTAAAAATTTTGCTGAATCTAGTATAACACATGGTTAAAAACCGAACAATCGAACATCAATTATCATCTGATTAGCCGGGACAGGTTCTTATTAGAAGGGATTGAGTTGGCACCGAAGGATAAGTCATACGAATATGAGGATCGCACTGATCAAGCCCATCCTCGAATGTAAGATTCAGAAGGCTACATGTGCTTCTGTTTGGAGTTAGTGACGTCCACACTATTTCAGCATACTCCAATGAGCCCAGATTTATAGCTAATATCGTTTAGGAGACTACTCTCTTACTTCCAACTTTCAATAACTTCTTACACAAAGCTGTGATGTCTTCAGATCCGATTCTCGTTTTTCCCTTTCATTTCTAAACCAGAAGAAGAATAGTGAAACCTATGCATCCAGTGCAAGCTCTTAGAATTTGGGATGACGCTGTGAGGAGGGAGCTACAATTCTGTCAAAACGTTGGTCGGCAAAGGTGCTACACAATCTTCTATGAAAAGCTGGTCATTTCTGCGGAAAAGGAACTAAGAAAACTGCTAGGTAAATGGCAATTGTTACTCCTGAAACGTCTTCATTCGGATCATGTGCGTATTTCTTGTTTTGATAGTAAATTTATTTGTCACAATCGCAAGAACGTCACCAGATCGTTCTGTCCTCACAAATGACACACAACATTTGATCGTCGAAACCTACACCACTGCCACAGAGTGACAACCAACAGCCGTCGGTTAACGGATTTTTGCTATGCTTTGCATCTAACAGAGGTCAGAGAACTGAACAACATAATGATGACCAAAATTTGGAACATTTGATGCACTTCAACTTCCTTTTACCTCTTAGAAGACTTACGTATTTATGCAAAATGGCATAGCTAGAACATTCGCCGCACAGTGACCTCCTCAGTCACGTTATTGCTTGACCCGTGTAAGAAGCTTTCAAGGTTACAACGTGGTCAAACTGGGTACCAACTTACAGAAGTCTGCTCTCAACGACTGACAACATTCGTGACTTAACAATATCGGATACTCAGCAGGCTGTCTTAATCAGTATGCCACTAAACGCGATTTTGAGGTTATTTAAAAAACACGCATTGTAGTAGGCTTTGGAAAAAACAGGCTCACTGCAGTAACTCGGAAACATCCACTAGAATTATTCAGGAATCAGGTAAAGTATGCAGTGCTGACTCGCAGTAACAATGCCAAGAGCAGCCTTACAACAATGAAATTCGCGAAAGAAACAAAGTTAGACTAAGTGTTCTAATTTGTCTTACTCTAGTTCTGACAAACCAGCTGAGAAGGTTGCCAGGTGAGCTTTTATATAACAGATCTAATAGTTGCTTAAAATAAATTAGAGACCACAGTGATCATATCGGTTACAGTAATTTCTGGGAACGTTTTGAGCTCAATCTTGGTCTTGGCTAATCCCGAATTGTGCAACAACAATGATCAGCCAACAAAAAGCTGTATTGCCCTGGTTCTTTTACGCAATCGAGCAGAACGAGGTAAGAGTCTAATCACAGTCTCTGAGGAAAACGTCAAGTTACCCCTAAATGAAGTGAAAGACCAGAAGCTCGAGTCAAGCTGCATGGTTTTGGTTTAGGAAAACAGAAATCATCGCGTAAACTTGTTATGTTAAAACTTATTTCGAAAAAACCACTCACTGGATACCGGGGATAAGTTAACAAGCGGAATTTTTCGGCTGCCTTCCGCGTACACTCATCATTATTTTGCCCCAGCTGATGATCAGACGTGTGAAGAATCCAAAACAGTGAATCATATTGAATTAGAGCGCTTAAGGCAGACGAGCAAAATTAATACTGTTTCCAAGATTGCTGAAAGCCTTTCCACAATCCACGACCCATTTTGATCACCTTGAGTCCCGTCAGCTAATCGTGGTCCCCAAGTAATAACCAAATTTATGGCCTAATTAAGCACCAAAGAGTACACATTTGGCGAAATACGATCATTTACAAACTACTTTGGTGTTAACAGGAGACTCAACTGAAACTTACCTGAATCTTTTTTTATGAAGGAAACTACTCACAAGGTTGCAGAAAACTCCTCGACAGCCCACGACCGATTTCGCCCTTCTTGGGGCTCAGACCCCGAGTTTCCGTCAAACACATGTTCTACTCTAACCCTGAATCTTCTATTCTTGTGATGTGAATGCATTCCTCACTTGCTTATCATTTGTTATGCAGGCAAAACCTGAATCTGATGGATATTCTGAGATTACACAACCGAAAAAGGAACGAAACCTGTAGTTCATTTTCGAAGAAATTTCAGTACCTTTACAAATCGTGTGGTGTAAATCTCGGATATTATTCCAAATGTACTACTGAGTGACTTCCATGCAGCAGACGGAGACACTCCAGTCGACCTCGAAGAATTCGCAAATGAATTTATTTCGTCAGATAAACAAAAGGTGTTTCTCAACTTTGTAGCGTTCCTGGAAGTTCCATGGGATCCAATCGTACTTCGACATGAGACCATTTTGGATAAATTGTCACATTTGAATCCGTAAGTTCTTGTTGGGAAAATGATTTCGATGAGGATGACATCATGTTTTTTGCCTAGAATTATTTGGCCAGGATTATTTCGTTTTGTGCTATATGCAGTTATCATTCGAATGGTTTTACTATATGATATTTACATGCCTGGTCAGTCGAACGACTTCGCAGTTTAGCCGGAGAAGTGCCGGTAATCCCGGTGGGGGAAGAAACGATCAACAACAGAGAGGTGTTGTTTTAGGGCACCTTGTGTCCAGACCACAAATAGTCCTTTTGGTTAGAGAATAGAAGCGTTTTGCAAAACTCGAACGTAGACTACAAAATAGCGTGTCGGGGCACGTGAGATTCTGAAATTGGCATGGATTTTTTCTCGCATGGTAGACCAATGCATACAATAAATTCGGAAGAAATACGCACATGGAATGCTTTTCCCATTTGGTAACGGTGGAGAAGCATTTTTTCACGGATATACAAAGCACAAGATCCACATCAATACGACGGTTGACCAGCCAATCACAAAAGTTCTACTGGTATCTTCTATAACTGTCAATTTTCTAAGTACAGTGTGAATTCGATTGCGAAATTCCGTTAGGGTAGCCACTCTGGGGTGACCGTGAGTGTGGTGTCATCCGAATAATTCCGAGTAATTATTGGTCGCAGTAGGGGACCGCAATGTAGTGAACGAAATGAAGTTGGAGAATGGTGGGGAACAGATCACAAACGGGAATTATAAAAGGACGTCGACAGCTTCATGAACGTGTTAAAACAAGGAGGTGGAATCGAATGAAGCAAAGCCCCAACATCTTCAGGTTCATTTGGAAGAAACTGCCACGCATTTTCTTAGGAGGATGTCTCCTGTCTACAAGGATTTCTCCTGCCCGAGATCTCGGGGAACAAGTAAGAGATGGCTAAGTATCACACGAAATTAACCGTTAGAAGAGAAGAACGAATGTTTTGGGGTATCTGAAGTTCATTCTCTTTTCTGACCAAGTTTCCCAAACCAAGACTATTAAACACGTCCGTACGACACGGCAAACAGGAGTTGTGCCACTGCTAAGATGTGCTGAGACAGACAGCACATCTTCTGCTCGAACTCATTTGGGTCTGGAAATGTTTATTTCCAAACTTTTCTGAAAAAGGCTATTCGCTTGAAGACTGAAAAGTCTACTTCAAGTGAGTGTAATGGTTCCTACTCCGAGTCTACGCTTTGCCATCACGGGCAAACGCTTCCCTTTGACATGGACTCACACTCATTGCTGCTTTGGGCTCACACCAGCAGGATATTCATCCAGTGGCCAATTCAATTGTTTCCCAGTTGTGCAATGTATGCTTTCCTGCTCGATTCGGTGAACATGTGTTATCTTTTGTTTCGCCTGGGTTAGTCGCCCAATCATCATTTCGGAATCAGCCGTAGCTTAGATAATATTCAGTCACGCTGGGGCGACACGAGACTGGTGTGAATGGACAGCTACTTCACGGTTCCCTGCCGTGGTTTGACTGTTCCACACACAGTTGGAAACCTTTGAACGTCATGCGTATGGTAATTCTCATGATTGGGACCAATTAATTGAAGATGGACGAAATGGTATAGAAGTTAAGGATCACCTGTCCTGAGTTTTATCAGTTCAGCTTTTCAACCAGTGGCCATTTCCGTGTATATTTTGGTCTGGATTCTGATAGTCTTAACGCTAGTACCTTACAAATGGGGCCAAACTCCAGATCATTCATAATCCACACTAAGGCACCAGTTGAGAGACAAACCGCATGAATATGCGCGAAAGCATTCTGTATGGCATTTGTTATTATCACATCAGTCTGACCCCTATGTTACCTACACAGATGTGCGTGGCCGAAAACGACGAGCACTCATTTGAGTAGCCTTCGCCTTGTTCGTATTCAGACGCAGTGGCCATTGCAGTTGTACGCATAACTGTGAGATATGTTTATTATACCCATTTCATCTTTCACGATTGAATTAGTCCAACCGGTTAGTGAGTTCGTTTTTCCAACCTTCTCTGCGTTGACTCATGAATCATGTCCACGCTGTCGGGTTTGCTTTCCGTTGTCACGGTATACACCAGGCATCTGAAGCACATTTCCGAGTGTTCACTACCTCCACCCAAGTACAGGTTGACTTTGGCCTTTTCGACCACCCACAGCTCAAACGTAAATACAACAAGCACACTGCGTATATTCAGAATGACTGGTGAGTGTATGTGTAGGCGGGGCTGATGGCCGTCTCTTGTGCTTACTACCTACTGATCGGGAGAGCGCTTATTCCACGGACCTTACAATGGACACCTTATGCCTGCAGCGTCTGTGGATCACGGTAAGAATGATTCACAAACTGAGAGTGAGGCCACAGTAGATCGGATTTTGGAACCATTCACAATTAATTCAGCTGAACTTCGATTTTTGTTGGTTCATTCTTAGTTCAGTGCCTTTCCTTAGTTCTCATGGAAAACTTTCTCTCCAATTACATGCAAAGGAACATTATTGTTGAAGTAAAGATGAGAATACTTGTCACTTCATCAAAGGATGACCATCTTCTTGGGATCAACATTTCTCGCCATGTGACTGGCAAATTACGTTTACGTTTGCAAACAATACCCAGTATATCCCCAGCTAACTCAATCAAAGACCATAAAAAATCGGGTAATGTACGGTGCTCCTTAGAAATTCGAGTTCGATATCCCACCGCATGGAAGGAGAGATGCACAAAGGCATCTGATGCCCTAATTGGCTTCTTGACGAGCACTGAAGACTATTCAAAAGCCCGAAAACCTAAACTACACATATCAGCTCTTCATGTTTGAAAATCCTCTCTGACCGGTGATGAATCAGCTCTTAGCATGCCTCGAAGAAGAGAACTTAGGACCGTGGTGGTCAACAGATCCAAGAGCTATACACGACAGGTTCCGTGAGTTGTCTCCTGTCCATCGAGAAGTGGCAGGCAGCATGCACTCTTCGATATCCGAAAATTTTTGAGGACAAAAGTTATTCGTGATTTACAAAATATTTAATCCAGCTC